TAGTCACACTAGGAAACTTCCTCAACACCCTCCATAGATCTGACTTCATATCTTCTGTTAACTGAGTTCCAAACACAATTTCTCCAGTGTCAGACCACCTATATCCTTCAATATCTTCTCCATCCTCAATAACTGCATTAACAAAAGCTCGCTCTTTCCATTTTTTGAGATGATTCACATGAAAGATTTGCTTTCGACCTCCTTTGTCAGGCATTTCGATCTCATATGTCACTTTCCCTATTTTTCTTATCACTTCATACGGTCCCTGCCATTTAGCCACAAATTTTCTGGTACTGCTTGGTAATAGTAGTAATACTTTGTCCCCAACTTCAAAATTAATCTCTCTCGATCGTTGATCATAATACATCTTCTGCTTAGCTTGCACTGCTCTTGCATTCTCCTTCACAATTTCTCTTGCAGATTCCATCCGTTCTCGCGTATCCATCACAAAACTCAGTATATCTGTTTCGATTTCTGTGCTGTGGATCCATTCCTCCTTTAAAACATCTAACGGTCCTCTCACCTCCCGACCATATAGTAGTTCAAAGGGACTGAACCCAAGAGTCGATTGTGGAACTTCCCTATATGCAAACAAGACATATGGTATCATGTGGTCCCAGTTCTTCCTCTCTCCTTCCAATACTTTCCTTAGCATAGACTTTAGTGTTCGATTAAATCGTTCCACGAGGCCATCGGTCTGTGGATGGTATGGACTGGTCTTGATTGCTTTGACCCCCATGAGATGATATAGCTCTCCCAGTAAGCTTGATGTGAAATTTGAACCTTGATCTGTCAATATTTCTTCAGGAATTCCATATCTAGCAAATAACTCAATCAACACTTCAGCTACTTTCTTTGCAGTAATATTCCTTAAAGGAAATGCCTCTGGGTATCTTGTTGCGTAATCATTTATCACTAGAATGAATCGGTTTCCACGACTGGTTCTTGGTAGCAGTCCTACAATATCCATGGCAATCCTCTTAAATGGTTCTCCTATTATGGGTAAAGGTATCATTGGAGCCTTCCTCTTGTGATTTGCATGTAGCTGGCAATCTTTACAAGCTTCACAATAGAGTCTCACATCTTTAAATAAAGTAGGCCAATAGAACCTCCTTAATATCCTTTGGGTTGTCTTGTCTCTACCCAGATGTCCTGAAAATGGTAAATCATGTGCTAACCTGATGACTTTATTCCGATACTGTGCTGGTAGAACAATCTGTTCATATGTGGTACTTG